AAAATAAGTAAAATTATGTTAACTATAAACTATTTGATAATATTTGATTCAACTTGAATCTCGACTTGAGTTCACTATAAACTATTTTTATAACTCGAACTTGACAAGATTCAAACTCTTGAATAACTCGATTTAGTTCGTTAGATTGAATCACATGAATTAAGTCATGTTTTTTTTAATATAAATTTCAAAATTTTAATATATTAATATATTTTAGATAACAATATTTTTTAAAAGAAAAATATAATTTATTCTATTAACTTTGCAAGACTACAAGGTATGATAAAAAAAAAATATAATTATAATTAAAGTTAACATGATAAAAATTATTCAACCTTACATAAAATAATAAAAAATTGAATCCATAACTAAGAAACCTTAAAATGCTCACTTCTTATATCCTTATTAACTATAACTACATTTTGAATGTTTTTTTTTTTTTTTAATTTAGTAAACTAGTATCAAATAAAAAGTCAATTATATAAATTAAATTTATATATCAATTAAGTTGATTCATTATCCAAATAAGTTAAATAATATGTAACTCAAGTTCAACTTATTTATTTATTAAGTTTAATTTTTAACTTAACTTCAACTCATTTAATTCATAAACCAAGTTCAATAAATTAATTATCAAATAAGTTTTAAATTATTTTTGAAATGATTTAATTCATTCCTCCAAGTGCCCACCTATCTACCAAATTTGTGAATTCATTGACATAATTATTTCACCTTAAATAGTGATATTGATTTCAAGTTCTAAATATATAGTTATATAAAGAAAAAGTTTTATCATTGGAAGATATAATTTTATTTGACTCCAGCATAACAATACGTGTGGTTAAGACCAACAAAAATAAAAAGGGTATTCAAAACGTACTTTATGAAAATCGCAGACATGAGAGTTTGGTGTCTTTGCAAAAGCACCACTTCAAGTCTTTGTCCAACATTTTCCCCCTTTTCTTGCATAATTTCAATTTATCGTCATACACTCATTTTTATTTTGGTTTTTGGGATGAGATCGTGAAGCTAATTCTGAATTTGTTTGGACAATAGTTGACAGCGTTTATCTCAAAGCAAATAGAGTGAAATGGGGTGAGCGATGAGTGTAAGAAAAAAGAGAATGAGTGTCCTAGGAAGGAAATTTGTTGTTCCGACCTATGTCCATTGTCATCGTTAAGATCATTGTATTTGAGATGTTATCCGCTTTAACGTTTATTGGATCGTCACAGTTTTGTTATTGAAAAGATATCTTAGTGGGTTAATGAGAGAAAGTGTTTATAAATTATCATTAATCTCAATTCTTAAGTAATGAGACTTTTTAGATATATCGGAACAAGACCCCTAGTCGAAGCTAAGGGACAAGAGTGATCTAGATCCTATTTTTAGTACCAATGCTCTGACCATAAGTTGCTATCATCATTAAAGTTATCGTATCTAAGATATTGTCTGCTTTGACGCTTGTCGGACTGTTATGATTTTGTTCTTAAAAAGACACCTCAGTAGATTAAAGAAAGAAAATATCTATAAACTACTCTTAATTTTGATTCCTAAGCGATATAAGACATTTTAGACATATCGAAACATTTGTGAAGTGCAGTTTCTTAAAAGTATAAATTAGAAATAAAAATTAAAAGTATTCAAAAAATAAATAATAGAATAAAAGGGAAATAATAATAATAAAAAAAGGTGTTTTGCATTTAATTTATTTTTACTTAATACATCTTTAATGAGAGTCGAAGACCTTAAAGTATGACTAAATTTTACGGTCCAATCAAACTAGTTCAGTTCACATTCAATCAATCATTAGCTTAGAAGTTGTATATAAGAAATTTCAGTAAAATAAAATGCAGAACAGCTAGAAGACAACCCAATTTTGTATTCCCATGTTTAATTAAAGAACCATTTCACTCCGGGATAAATAAAATAATATTCTCCTTGTAATCTTTTAAAATATGAAGAAAAAAAAATTACAACAATTTTGAAAAGATAAAAATGGCTTTATAATGTTTTATACAAATATATTGAAAAAAATAAAGTAAAAATAAAAAATATTTTAAACTACTGTATATTGTAAGTAATCGATTAAAATAATTTAATAATTGCTAAAATAAAAAATATAATATATAAAATATTTATATATTATAACATTGAAACTAACAAAATAATATTTATAAACAAGATTAAAAAATGCTTAAGAAATATAAGTCATAAAATAAATAAATCATTAATTTGCAGAAAAATAAAAAAAACCTATATTATATATTTTTTAATAAATAATGAAAAACTATTTTCATTTTATAGTGAAATAACATATTAAAAGTATATAATAAATATCAGTATCTTATAATTCATCATTTATGAAAATATGTAATATGTGATTTTTTTCAAAGAAAGAAATATCTCCTTTTGATCTCATACAACACATTTTCACAAATGAAGAGCTAAAAATAAAGAATAGTCTACTTAAAAAGAATAAAGATAATTCATTTTCTATTACAATAATAAATTTATTTAGATTTATTTCACTCAATAATTCATGTTTTATATTAAATTTTATCAATCTAATCATTGAATTAAATAACTTTAATATATAAATTAATAATATATATATATACAAGAGCAATGTGATTCTACGAATTTTTTACTTAAATAATATTTTTTTTTAAAAAAATTACAAAAGTATTAACTGTGCAGGTTTATTTACCAATATAGAACTGTTTACTGTTCATGCTCAGAATTCGGTTCCCGGGGAACCGAATTCTGAGCTTCAAAATCTTATTTTTTTTGTTTTTTCAACTCAGAATTCGGTTCCCGGGGAACCGAATTCTGAGTTATTTAATTTTTTTTTCTTCGTGTTTCTGGCCCATTTTGGGCAAATGTTGGAAGTGGAACGGCCCGTTCCGGAAGCAGAATGGGCCGTTCTGCTTAAAGATACATAGTCCTTTTTTTAAATTAAAACGGGCCCTGAACGGCCCGTTCCAGAATAAAAAATTTTAACATTTTTTTGAATCTGAAACGGCCCTGGAACGGCCCGTTCTGGAAGATGTTTTCAGGAAGTAAAACGTGGTTTGGAACGGGCCGTTCTGGTTTTGGAATGGCCCGTTCTAGGCAAACAGTAAAAAAAAGATTAAATTTTTTTTAAAAGAAGATAATAAAGTTAAAATAATGAGATTTAAGCAATAAATAGGGAATATATTCTCTCCAAAAATATAATTATGGGATAAAATTTTAACTATTCAATCAATTTTATTAAAATAATATATTTAGACAATCACTTAAGATAATATCTTGCGTTTAAAACGTACAATTATCCCTGAACTATAGGGAATATATTCTCTCCGATAATATAATTATCGAATAAAATTTTAACTATTCAATCAATTTTATTAAAATAATATATTTAGACAATCACTTAAGATAATATCTTGCGTTTAAAACGTACAATTATCCCTGAACTATAGGGAATATATTCTCTCCGACAATATAATTATCGGATAAAATTTTAACTATTCAATCAATTTTATTAAAATAATATATTTAGACAATCACTTAAGATAATATCTTGCGCTTAAAACGTACAATTATCCCTGAATTATAGGGAATATATTCTCTCCGACAATATAATTATCGGATAAAATTTTAACTATTCAATCAATTTTATTAAAATAATATATTTAGACAATCACTTAAGATAATATCCGATAATTACTCTTATTTCTTCCTTTTCAAATCTTTTAGTGTTTTAGTTTTTAACTTTTATTCCAAAGTAATTAATGTTTTATAATTGTACGTTTTAAGTGCAAGATATTATCTTAAGTGATTGTTTAAATATATTATTTTAATAAAATTGATTGAATAGTTAAAATTTTATCCGATAATTATATTGTCGGAGAGAATATATTCCCTATTTATTGCTTAATATCCCATTATTTTAACTTTATTATCTTCTTTTTTTAAAAAAAATAAAAAATTTAATCCTTTTTTACTGTTTGTCCAGAACAGGCCGTTCCAAAACCATAACGGTCCGTTCCAAACCACGTTCTACTTCCTGAAAACGTCTTCCAGAACGGTCCGTTCCAGGGCCGTTTCAGATTCAAAAAAATGTTAAAATTTTTGTTCTGGAACGGGCCGTTCTGGGCCCGTTTCAATTTAAAAAAAAGACTCTGTATCTTTAAGCAAAACAGCCCGTTCTGCTTCCGGAACGGGCCGTTCCACTTCCAACATTTGCCCAAAATGGGCCAGAAACACGAAAAAAAAAAATTTAAATAACTCAGAATTCGGTCCCCGGGAACCGAATTCTGAGTTGAAAACACAAAAAAAATAAGATTTTGAAGCTCAGAATTCGGTTCCCCGGGAACCGAATTCTGAGCATGAACAGTAAAAAGTTATATATTGGTAAATAAACTTGCACAGTTGATACTTTTGTAATTTAAAAAAAAAAAATATTATTTAAGTAAAAATTTCGTGATTCTACACATAAAAAGCATATAACAGAAAACAGCATGATTATACTCTTTATAAACATGCTTTTTCTTGGCTGATCTTTTATATCCTCCGATCCGAGATTGAAGCACTAAAATTAACCAAAAAAATATAGAAAAAACTGAGGCTTAAATTGAAGTGTTGTATAATAATTTTAATCCGATGTTAACTACTAGCCCTAGTTTAGACCTCGTAAGTATAGTTGCTCAACATCATAATCCCCATGCAATTGAAATAAAACAATGTTATAAAGACATGAATTGTTTCATCCGATGATTTAGCAATTTCAAGCAATAGTACATATTCATCCTTAAAATGAATTATCATCCTACTAAGATATAAATAAATAAATGGATTTAAAACATTTAATATTCTCAAAACATTACAAACAATTGAAATGCAATTTTAGTAATTTAAATGTAGAACAAACTAGCATTTTGAAATAGTTAATAAACAAAAACAAAATTATATTATAAGAAAAATATATTCTGTAAAATGAGACAGGTTTTAAATCTCTAAAAATTATGAGGTCATTTTTCATTCTCCCATTTTTCAACATATGTCATATATGAGACAAAAAGTATAATGTTTTTTTGGTACAAGAATCACCTATTACACATTTTTTTTTTCAATAGAAATCTGTCTTATAAAGTCTCCTTGGTGAGGAGACCTTCCCGATGTGGGACTTGTTACAAAATCGGTCAATTTGTAGAGATTAAAATTTAAAACCATATCTAACCTTTATATATTTTATTTTATAAAATAACAAAACAAAACAATTAAAGGGTCAATACTCTTTGCTACAAACTAGTAATTGGATAAGGAATGACAAAGTGTCAGAAAATAGAAACACATGAATAACTAGTTTGTGGTCAAAGTATTCGCTGACATGTAAGGTGAGATACATCCCTGAACCTGAAAAGAAGTCATTTTTTTTTCATGAGAAGAAGCATACATTATTTAATCATGACATCGTCAATAATAATAATAATAATAATAATAATAATAATAATAATAATAATAATAATAATAATAATAATAATAAAATGTGTTTTAGCACATGTAGTACATTGATGTTCAGAATAATAGGTTCAGGGTTAGAGAAGGAAAAATAGAAAGAAGGACGGCAGGTAATAAGCTGAAAATATTATTGATAGATGTAATGTGTTAGAAATAGAATATCTTAACTTATTAAGGATTTATTTAAATAAATTTTCTTATAAGCACTTCTAAAAGAAGAAAGAAAAATGAAAATAACTTTTCCATAAGTTAAAATTTGATTATACATAAATTAAAACTTTTCAAAATAACTTATGCGTAAGCTAGTTTCATCTTTTGGAAGAAAAAAAAATAATTTCTAAAAGTGTTTATGTAGAAGTTTAACTAAAAAGGTCCTTATACTAATTGGTCAAGTACTGCTACCACATCAACAATAAGAATATACCAACTAATATAAAGAAACAGATCAAGAGACATGTTCTAAGATAATTAAATATATCTTAAATATTATCTAACACCACCTCCTTAAAAGTAATAAACCCCAAAACATAAGATAAAGGACATAGCCTAACTAGCAAATGAACATACGCAAATATCACTCCCTTCAAATCACAAAAGTGTCGGTCACTTTGACCTGAACTTATAATAAGACAGATCCAAACAGCTAGATAGAAGAGAAGTAACCGCAATCCATTTTAATAGGAAAGAATCACCAAGAGAACAGAAAAACCCAACAACCCAATACAGCATAGACAAGAAAGAGAGAAACAATGTTGGACTGCCAATAGTCCAAGAAACTTTGAGCTCCTGCTCCCAAACATGCAATGTCTCCCTTTGGAATGGCCAAAACCACAAGAAACTTGGGACAACTCTTGTTCCCAGACTCGCATCATGACACCCACAGAAACACTTTGTTGGCTAAAAACACTAATCTAAGGTGGCTCCACCTAGTTACTTTCATCCTAGCATAGGCCAAATACCTAGTGACAGCTCAATCTTACAGGCAACCACTTCATCTAATATCTCTAGGGATAGCTTCACCATGTTAGTTGTCTTTGCCTCTCACATAAGCAGCCCTTTGCTCTTAGATAGAAATATTTAACAGAACACATTCTAACAACTAGTAAAAAAGCTGTAAGACAACAAAAGAAAGCAGTCTGGATAAACATTAACATATTATCTACCGTTTCTACAAAGGAATGTAAAGCAATATCTTGCCTGCAATAAACAAGAGGGAATTTGGATATAGCCATGTAGCAAGAGGTTGACTTTTTCCAAAGAACTATGGGGCACAGGAGTAATGACATAGAGCACGCCTTTGACCATGTCAATGCCCCTCACAATCCCTGAAACATAAGAAGTAAAGATGTGTTTAACAAAGGAATATACTTAGAATGGCCGAAATACATAACAACTACTAAACTAGAATAGTAACTGTATGATTTGTACCAATCATGAATACACTTTTATTTTTCTTTATCTTCTATATTTTTGGAAGTATGATAACCTAAATAGATAGAGATCCGTTAAGCTATATTGCACTTGAGAATTGAAATGTTATTGCAAAGCTAAGAGACACTGATAAACTTGTTACAACTAACAAATGCACATTAGCTCACAGTATTTTTGATTGCCATACTAATACCAAAATTTTGAAAAGTGATTTTATTTACAAGTTTAATTTTTCTTTTATAAATAATTATACTTCTCATTTCATTTACAAGGCATTTGATGTTTTCAAGACTTGTAAAATACAGAATTGAGCATTTTCAGCTAGTTTGCAATACTATTACCACCTAAAAAATTGCTTTTTAAATTTGAAATTTCAATTTTGCGAAATATTTCAGGAAAATGTCCTTCTTTCAGAGCAAGACATAATGAGACATTTTAAAATTCAGTATTCAAATCACCTACCAAGACCAAGACACCATGGTAAATTTTCAAGTCCTTCAGAATCAACTGCTAAGCCAACTATGGAAGCATTCAAAGTGAAGAATATTTCAGAGCTTGGGACCTACAAAGATAAGGATAGACCAAAAAAAAAATTGCTCTCAGTACCTTAATATAAATAAAATAGATATATGAAATATTGTTCAAATTCCTAATGAGAAAACAGCCAATTTAATATTCATATTTATATTTTATATTAAAAATATTTGAAAATGAATAAAATGCATGAAAACCAAACATATAAAGGGCAGCTCAATCACAAGACTCCACTATTGTGGTTCTTGGGAAGGGTCAAATTTATGCAACTAAAACTTCTAAACCATCAAATCACAAGGAATCAAGCAACCATATATTATAACTGAGGTGTGACTCATAATCAGAACTGGCAACTAGTAAAATTTAAATCAACCTCACAATGAAGATGTTGAATCTTTATGCTTGCAATGGGAACTTCATAAGGACAGTGGGAGGCCAAGGCATGTGCAAGTTCTTTGATCGTAGAAATACTTGAATCTCTACAAATGCACTGTCTGAAATAAGCCATTATTCGGAATTCACGTAGGAGACGTGCATCCTTCCGAACAATCATCCTAGGGGAACAAATAGTCATATTCTAAGATACTTGATGCATAAAAAATGGAAAAAGAATAACCAAACTAGCAGCCACAATTGATAAGTTTCTGATCAGGTTCAAACTTACGATCTATTTAACAAGTCCTGATGAGCTGAATTTATTTCAATTAAGTTAATTGTTTCATCATGTTCTCCATCTAACCAGAATTCACCGGAAGGTAGGTTCTTACTTTCCCTGGATATGCTTATCTTAACTACATGTGTTGGAGAAATATATTTCAACATGTCCACTAATACATCATAACCAACACCTGAAATGCAAGAGAACATAAACCATGAACAAGTACTATAAACCATAACAAATGATATATTGCTACCATTCTAGAAAAGAAATAGTTTATGTGCAGCAAAAGTACAAAAGAAAAGTGAAAAAGCGAGCTTACCTTTCACCCAGCCAGGGGTATTCACAATAAGAGGCAACTCGATCTTAAAAGGATTTTTTCCCTTCTCAGAGATGCAATACTCTTTTTGATAATAATCATACAAGGCAAATACGTAACTTAAGTATGTTGATGGATCTCTCTTAGAAGAAACATCACCAAAGAAAAGGCACCTGTTACATAATAAATGACAATTACTGAAGAGATTGCATCACATGTTCAATCAAATCATACCCAACGAATTGCCTAACAGTTACATGATTGAATACAAAGATCCAACACACAATAAGGGCTCATTTAGATAAACTTTTCTAGAAACACTTCTAGGTAAAAAAATAAGAAAGAAAAATGAACTAAGTTTCTCTACAAGCTAATTTATACATTCTTTTGTATTAGCTTTTCCAAAATCGAAATTGGGAGGTGAGTTTTGCTCACATAATGCGTGAAGACAATGCAGTAGCTGACCATATGGCTGGGTTATCTCATGCATATAGTGTCGAGTTTATGCATTTTCAAGCCCCTTGTAACGAGCATAAGGCTAAGGAGGGGAACCATCCCTCAAAAGCCGGCCCAAGAGGTTGGAGAACCTCCCGCCTTATAAGGCCTCCCTGGTAAGGAGACCTCCCCGATGTGGGACTTGTTACATTACCACCCCCTTCGAAAGCCAGCGTCCTCGATGGCTGCACTCCACGGTACTTCACTCACTGGTACTTCACTCGGCCCTTGCCGGTCAGAACCCTCTGGTGGTCAGAACCCTCCGTGGGTAGCCCTTCTCGATTTGGCTGGCTCTCAACGAGAGCACCATTGTAACGAGCATAAGGCTAAGGAGGGGAACCATCCCTCAAAAGCCGGCCCAAGAGGTTGGAGAACCTCCCGCCTTATAAGGCCTCCCTGGTAAGGAGACTTCCCCGATGTGGGACTTGTTACACCCCTCCTGGGGTTTGCTGGAACCTGCTCAGGCAGGATGCTATGAGGGCTTTGTAGCCTGGTTTTCCCCCACCTTTGGCAGTTTTGATAAGCCGAAAAAAAAAAAAAACTTTTCCAAAATTATATTTTTAACTTATGCATAAGCTACTTTTAGATCATACAAAAGTTTATTTCAATTTTCCTTCCTATTTTTTCTCTTAAAAATGTTTCTGGAGAAGTTTATCCAAACATACCCTAAATATCATTCACAACAATGAAAAAAGGCCTCCAATCCTAACCACTGTATCCCCGTCCCCTTCCACGCACAAAAAAAACATGAGACTAGAATGCCTGGGACCCTTGACTCTTACAGCATCGCCAGGAAAAAGGCACAACCATGTACAGAACAAAATCATATAAAAAAGCATCATAATATAAAATATTGGGATTCGTCAATATAAACAGTGATCTGATGCGAAGACAACTCTACTTAATAAGAAGAATTCAACATGCCTAAACTTCACATAGTCCAATATACGTGACTACTGAATAGATGTTAAATTTCATTACAAGTCAGCTGTCTCCTCATACTTCAAATTCAAAGCAACATTAATAAAATCATAAAACACAGATGCAGCTCCCAAGTTATGAGATGAGATAGCACTTCATACCTCTCCGGTGTTTTCATGCATGGAACTGTCAAATCTAAAATAATTGGAAAAAAATGAATAAATTTGAAATAAATTATATAACCTTTTTATGCAAAACTAAGATAGGGATTCACGATCCTACCTGGAGTTACTTTATGAACAATGGTTAGTGAAAGAAAAGCAGGAGGAGTAAACTCAGGTTGGCCAACATCAGTATCCAGATAAGCTACTTTGGGGTATTTGTGCAAAAGGACATTTAGGAGATAGCGGGAGAAGGTTGTTTTCCCACAATTCTTGGCACCGCATATAAGAATAATAGGAGGCCTTGAACTGTATACAATGGACTCTGCAGCCTCTGACCATTGCTCTGGGATGTGTATGTCCGGTGAAGGAGAAGAATCCATCTCTTTTTCTCTGTAAAATTGCAAGACAGCCTTGATTGATAAAACAACTTTTTTTTCAGCGAATTTCCAAATGATGTAAGGGTGGGCATGGTTTAAAGAGATGGATATGATTTGCTTAAACCCTAAATCCTTAAAAATAAAACAATTAAGGGTCTGTTTGGTGGTGAAGATATAACATGGTATAATAGAATAATTATCCTATCATTCTATAATTAATTGTTTAGTGCAACAATAAGATATGATTTGCTTATCTTATTGTCTATCATATTTTGTTAGTGTATTTTTATCCTGAAAGGGGAGTTGGGTTAGAAAACAATAAGATAAGATAGATACTCTTCCTACCTCCCTCCCTCTCCCACCACCACCTCTATTGCAATCACCATTGCCACCAGTATCGTCACCACCACACTCACCATTATCTAGTCAATATCGAACACATGATAGGATAACACAATAATGTTATCCAGTATGCAGCAAACATTTGATAGAATTAAAACTTACCATGCTCTTGTATTATTCTACTATATCATATATTGGGCATCAAGCGAATCCTAACATGATACGGAGTTAGTTATACCAGTTAGGGGTTGGATATGTTAGTTAAGTGTATAAAAGGGAATAAGACCCATACATGAAGGGACACATTCAGTCTATTGTAAAAACACAAATCTTCACTCTGCTCACTCTGATTAATAAAACTTTCTTCGGAATCTCTTCTATTCACGATTCCCTAGCTTTCATTTGGTTCTTCGGTTACCTAAATCCCTAGAACTACTTCTTTCCTTATCAATTGGTATCAGCCTGTTCCTTCCTTTTGCAATCCTTCTCCATGGCCGAAAACACCAGGACTCAGGCAGCAATGAAGGAGATGGAGGATCGTCTCGCAGCCCGATTAGAAACACGTTTGATTGAACTTACGGGAAACATCAAGAAGGCGCTGGATGAATCTTTAAAGAACAGCATTCAAGAAGTCTTCCGGAGTTCACACGAAGGCAATGACAGTCATCATTCTTCTGGGAGTGCGACTCAGCACAAGGGGTCTCATCCACATTCTTCTTACGGAACAAGACTGGCCAGAATCGATTTTCCAAAATTTGGGGGCGATAACGTGCATCAATGGATCTACCAAGCTGAGAATTATTTCTCTATTGATAATACTCCCAATGATGTGAAAGTCAAGATAGCGATCATCCACCTTGAAGGCAAAGCCTTGCAATGGCATACGGCATTTGTTCGTTCTGCAGGTAATTTTCCTATTCATAATTGGGCGGCCTACACTAACCTATTGATTGACAGGTTCGGTGCAGTCTGTGATGATCCAATGGCAGAATTAATGAAGCTGAGACAAACCACTAGTGTTGAGAAATACCATGAGGATTTTGATGCTATCGTGGCTCGGTTACAACTCTCGGAAGAGCATAAGTTGAGCTGTTT